AAACACATTTGACATGTGATTCTGTTGTTTGGCTTTTTACTTTATTTTTGCCAGTGCCTTACTGCACGCTTTTAGATATGATATATGTAAACTTTTACAAATTTAAAAATAATGTAAGAATGTCATATTCATAGAAATGGCCCTTTTTGTTCATAATTAAATATTTGTCTACATTCAACAAATGTTAAACTGTAGAATTATATAAAGTTGAATCGAATCGAACCGAATCGCTCTTCCACTGTATCGAATTGAATCAAATCGTTCTATTTTTAAAATAAATCCTTTTTCAATCGAATCGTAACCATTGTATCTAGATGCGAATCGAATCGTCTATCACACAGAGATGTACAACCCTAGTATAAACCCCTGGTGTACAGAGAACCAGCTGTGAGGAGCACAGTGAAACAATGGACTGAGGAGAATGAAGAAGCACTGAGGGACTGTTTCAACTCCACTGTGTGGGAAGAGCTATTTACTCCTCATGGTGAGGACATTGACAGCATCACGGACTGCATCATTGACTACATCAATTTCTGTGTGGACAACACTGTGCCCACCAGGACAGTACGGCGTTTCTCCAACAACAAACCATGGATTAACCCTGAAATAAAGGCTCTCCTGAAGGAGAAGAAAATATATTTTAGATCTGGTAACAAGGAGGACCTGAAAGCTGTGCAAAACAAACTAAGAAGGATGATTATGGATGGAAAAAACATCTACAGGAAAAAGATGGAGGATCAGCTGAAGCAGAGCAACATCAGTGGGGTGTGGAGGAGCCTTAGGTTGTTTTCACACCTGATAGTCCGGTAGACTCGGTTCGGTTGGGGACCAATATTCATGACATTTTGTTTACATTTGAGCTGGTGCATTTGCATTCACACTACACTGTGCAGTCGAGCCAACCTGTTGAATCAACCTATTCCCCCGCTCGCCTGTGGGAGCGTTGTACCAAAAACTACTGAAAGAAATAATCCATCCATCCATCCATTTTCTTTACCCGTTTATTCCATTTTGGGTCACGGGGGTCGCTGGTGCCCATGTCCAGCAATCACTGTGCGAGGGGCGGGGTACACCCTGGACGGGTCGCAAGTCCATCACAGGGCCACATAGAGACAAACGAGACAAACAACCATTCACTCTCTCACTCACACCTAGGGACAATTTAGAGTTACCAATCAGCCTAACATGCATGTTTTTGGACTGTGGGAGGAAACCGGAGCACCCGGAGAAAACCCACGCATGCACGGTGAGAACATGCAAACTCCACCCAGAAAGGCCCCTGGACCGGGGTTTGAACCAGGGACCAGCTCGCTGAGAGGCAGCAGCTCTACCAGTTGTGCCACCGTGCTGCCTGAAAGAAATAACAATAATAATAATAATGTCATCACAATGTCAGCACTGTATGTTTCCATACAATGGCGAAATTAGTCTCTGCATTTAACCCATCCACCACCAGGTGGTGCAGTGGGCAGCTATTGAAAGCGCCCGGGGGACATTTTGGGGATTAGACGTTGACACAAAAACCTCTGAAGACACGTCTTCTTCTGGAAATAAAAACAAAAATGGAGTGGCATCAAGTTTTAGCAGTTTTAGGAGTTATATTTTGTCATTTTTCAACAATGGACTCAGCATGAGCAGAAGATGAGGCAGAAGACCATGGAGAATATTGTTTTTCACACAAGGCAGCTGACGGCTCCATATTAGGTAAGAGAAATGTGTGGTTGTTTGTCCTGCGTTGTACTCCACTTCTTGTTTGTGGAGCGGGGCCCGGTCTATTTACATTCACACTGCATTCGAACCGCGCTGGAGTTCTCTTCTACTGGACCGAGACCTACGTTTTAGCTCGGGCCAGAGTTCACCTTTTTGTTCCATGACAGAGTTCAATGGCGCGTTCACACCTCCCCAAACAAACCGGACTTCCTAGGAAAACGAGCTAGAGTTCGATTAAAGTGGACTAAACAGGGCTGGTGTGAATGCACCCTTAGACAGGACATCACTAAATGGAAATCCCTGCCTCACACTCTAGGGGGCAGAATAAACTCTGTAAAAATGAATATTTTACCTAAATTTTTCTATCTGTTTCAAAATCTGCCAATCTTCCTTACTAAATCATTATTTACCAGTCTGAACAGCTAGATATCAGTGTTTATTTGGAATAAAAAGCACCCATGGATTGTCAAGAGGGTCTTACATCTGTGCCCTGCAGACTTGGAGGCATGTCGCTTCCTAACTTCATGCACTTTTACTGGGCAGCTAATATCAGAGGTCTTCTATTTTGGTTGGGTAAATATACCACATCTCCTAGTTGGGTGGCCTTGGAAAGGGCCTCAATTAGATCCAGTTATCCTTATGCACTACTCTGCTCTTGGCTGCCCGTTAAACAATCAATGTCAACCTACAATTCTAACCCAATTGTGATCTGTGCTTTTAACATTTGGAATCAGTTCAGGAGGGCATTTAATGCTACACAGTTACTGTTTTTGGCACCTGTGTCAAATAATCATGTTTACTCCCTCAGTGGATGATACAGCTTTTGACACCTGGGTCTTAAGGGGAGTGCATTCACTGTGAGATCTCTATGTTGATGGTAGATTTGCCTCGTTTGAACAGCTGGTGCAGAAGTTTAATATTCACAAGTCACAGTTTTTTAGATATTTGCAGCTAAGACATTTTGTGAGGTCCAACTCTGACTGTTTTCCTTTGTACCCCTCTATCCATTTTGTGGCTAAGATTTTGGAATGCAGGTCTGATATGAAGGGGGTCCTTAGCAAAATATATACACTGCTCAATTCATACTATGAGTCCATTTTGGACTCCCTTAAACTGAAATGGGAAACAGACTTGGAGGAACCCATTTCAGACTCAATCTGGATAAGGATCATTAAGAACATTTACTCATCTTCAATCTGTCTGAGACATACTGTAATTCAATTCAAAGTAGTGCACACGCCGCACTGGTCCAAAGACAAGTTGTTCAGGATCAAAGCTGACCTGGACCTCGCATGCAATCATTGTAAACAAACTCCAGCTACACACCTTCTCTGGGATACAGTATGTGGAAAAACTGTTCACCCATCACCATTCATATCACTGTTTGGGGTGGTCCCTGTGGATATGTCCTTCAGCTAAATGTGAGAAGGTTGTACTTGGCATAAAGTATCTGAAAGAGCACAAAACAGCTGAAAAATAACAGCTGAAATGACCTGAAAATAGCTAAAAAAATGTTTAAATTTGCACAAGGAAGCTGAAAAAAGCTGAACCATAACAAAATGTGAAAGGAGCAGTAAAAGGTTGTAAACAAATCTAAAGATATGAAGGATGTAAAATGAGCTCAATTAATTTTCTATGAGAAGAAAAATGGAATAAAAGGCTAAATATTCTAAAAAGCTAAAGTTGCACCAATATCAAAAGTCATAGCAGGATTGTATTCAAAGATCTGAACGTTTTGATATAAGATTTGTTGAAATAGCTTGAAAACTGTGGGATGAGAACTGTGGGATGAGAACTGTGGCTAAAAACATACAGAAGAAAAATGGATCACAATAGTGTGAATGCTTCATAAACATTCACACTATTAAAATCCACAAAATTATAATTTTTTTTGGTCTCTAAAGGTAAAAAGTAGGGATGGGGCCGATCCGATCCAGTATCGGTATCGGCCTCCGATACCAGCAAAATTTACGTATCAGATTTTCCAATCCACCTGCCGATATTTCCGATCCATGTATGTCTGTGGTTGCGCTGCATGTTGGCTTCAAACTATGGAATGGATTTCCTGAACGGCGGCGTGTCTCATGAGCCCAGAGTAATAAGACCTGCCTCACATTCAGGAAATCCAGTTCATAGTTTGCAGCCAGCTACAACGTGAGGAGTGAGTTAGCAGCACTGTGGCTAACAGCTAACTAACTTTTCATCTAAACATGTCCGCTGTGTGGAAGTATTTTACGCTAAAAACCACAAAACAAGACAGCAACGTGCAATGTCTGCAGAGCCATAATGCCACTTTAAACCGCAGTAAAGTTAGTTTTATGAAGGACATTCGAGCTCTGTGGCTTCAGCGGGGCGCTGCTCTTTGCTTAACCCAAAACAAGCAACTCGACACCGGCCAGCCGCGTCCAATCTGCCTCGCTCAGTCTGCCCGTCTCCGAGGTTCCGAGGTGTGACAGACTGAGCGCGGCTGCCCCAAATCAGGCTGCCTGCTTCGGATTGAACAAGAAGAAGACGTCGCTGAAACCACGGAGCTCAAATGTTTACAGAGAAGTTGCTAAACTTCATCATAATTAATGACCAACCACTATCAGTTGTAGAAAACGATGGATTTCTCAGCATGATACTTGCAGACAAGATCTAGTTTACCCTCCAGGAGATATTTATCAGTATAACAGTAGACAATCATAAAAAAACATGATTTGAAAATTATATTAAAAACAAAAACAACTATATTATAAAGTGATATAAAATACTAAAAACAGGAACATGTCTGTTGGTTTATGCCATGAGCAGGTGTTTGAAGCCATTTAACATTTTATTTAATTTAATTCATGTATTCATTCATTTAAAAGAAACAAAATAAAAATAAAAAAATCATCAAAAAGAAAACACTGAATGAAAAGAGTGCAGAAAGAAGAAAAAATTATTATATCTGCACCTTATAAAATATAAAACAACTTTAAACAATCACTTAAATTAATCACTTTAATATCCACTTTAAAGCTAGGAATAAAAAGAAATGTTTTGTGTTAGCAGAATTTAATTCTAACTATAAAACTTATCCAACATTAATAAAACTTACCTCAAGTTGCCTTTTTGGACATGCATGCATATATTTGCACAAATTGTACTTGAGAGGAGATTATTACAGCCTCATATAAAATCAATGATGATCATGATATCGGAACTGGATTGGTATCGGCCGATATTCAGATCTAGGTATCGGGATCGGATCGGAATTTTAAAAAGTGGATCGGTGCATCCCTAGTAAAAAGGGCAACCTGACTAACCTTTGCAGTTGTTGCTCTCAGTGAGTTCATAGCCGGTCCCACAGCTGACCTCTCTCATGCAGCGGAATGAGCCCTTGGTGTTGATGCAACGCTCGCCTCCCCGACAGTTACTGGCTCCCAGCAAACATTCGTTGATATCTGAGAGAGGTAAGCACCATAATTCTGTTAGCATCATAATATTTATTTAACAAACCTATACAGTTATGAAATAAAGAAAAACCTGAACAAGGCCACTTACCATCACAGCTCTTTCCGTCAGGTTTGAGTTTGTAGCCTTTCAAACAAGCGCAAGTGTCATTTCCCAGACAGAGCTGGGCACACTTTCCTAAGAAGCAACATAAACATGTTAGTAGCTAACTTTTAACATTTTTAGCAATAAAGTAGGTCAAATCATAACTGTAACATTGATCGACTTTACCATTACACTGATTGTTTAGGACTGAATTGTCTACATTTTCATTGGTGTCATCCCTGTTTGGCACTGTGACAAAGAAAATGAATAAAAACAGAATATTACAAAACAGACTTGGAACTTTTTTAAATAAATTGAATAAATAGTGACAAATTAATTCAGAAATAATTAAGAAAATAAATAATTTAACGAGTTAAATGATAAACTGAATCTCTTTAAAAGCGTGTTTTACTCCAACACTGCCTGAAATCATCGAGGAGTTAACAGTCAATGTTTGGTACTATAACCCAAAGAGCTTGGATTTATTAATGCATCAAAAGCAACATTTCTACTTTCAATGTATCCACTCGATTTCTACATGTAAAATCTAAAATAATTTAATTATGTGTCCACCAGAGAGCAGTGTAGCTCTGTGTTTAACACCAGGTCCAATCTCACCTCCTGGACCCACTTGTGCAGATTTTCTGATTTACCTTTTTCCTACTTAAAATTCAAATACACTGACACAAAATGGAAAATGTATGCCTGTATTTTATTTTTTTACCCACATTCTGTCTGTTCCATTTGTGCCGTCTGGTTGTCTGAAGCGCTATCTACACAGCAAGCCCGGACCACCAGGCTGCACTGGTATCCCACAGACAAATTGTGGTCACAGGGTATGTTCTGCTTCTGGACTTCCTTCCCCAGAAGACAACAGTCACAGCATATCTAAACAAAATGGGATATTATTTATTAGAAACAAAAGCAACACACACAAAAATCACAAGGATTTTTCTGTTATAGCTGAAAATATGAGAATTAAAAAAAGAAAAAATTAAAGTGGAAGACAAATTTTTAAGATCCAGCAGGCAGATGAGACCACCGTGTGTGTGTGTGTGTGTATGTGTGTGTGTGTGTGTGTGTGTAGGGGGGGGGGGGGGGGGTCGTTGGTGGGTTAGGGGTAAGGTTTAGGACTGAGTTGTGAATTACAGATGGGTTAGGATTAGGCCTGTACTGGTAATGGTTAGATTTAGGGTAAGGGTCAGGGTTGGCTATAGAAATTAACAGGTCAACAAGCTTAGAACAAGCTTAAATTCGCATAAGAAAGCAGAAAGATCCAAAAATTTTCAGTCAGGTCATTTGGACAGTTTCTTTTTTTGCTGAAACGTTTCACCTTCCATCCGGAAGGCTTCATCAATCAAGGAAACACACAACACAAAACTGATTCTTCCCCCAAACAGCTTACTCCAAAGTGGAACAAACCAGTTATGTTGTGTCTTTGGCACCAGACGACATGGCAGCTTAGCCTCTGACTGAGGTGAGCTCAATCTGAACTCTGTCAGGATGTTGACAGATTGGAGGGGAAAGTTTGGACAAACATTTATACCTGAAGCATACCTGCAAACTCAGAAGAGCTTAATGGTGCATTCAGCCCTGTTTAGTCTGCTTTAATCGAACTCTAGCTCATTTTCCTAGGAAGTCCGGTTCATTTGGGGAGGTGTGAACGCACCATCGAACTCTGTCACGGAACAAAAAGGCGAACTCTGGCCCGGGCTAAAACCTAGGTCTCAGAAGAGAACTCCAGCGCGGTTTGAGTACAGTATGAATGCAATCAGACCGGGTCCCGCTCCACAAGCAAGAAGTGGAGTACAACGCAGGACAAACAAACACGCATTTCTCTGACCTTATATGGAGCCGTCAGCTGCCTTGTGTGAAAAACAATATTCTCCATGGTCTTCTGCCTCATCTTCTGCTCATGCTGAGTCCATTGTTGAAAAATGACAAAATATAACTCCTAAAACTGCTAAAACTTGATGCCACTCCATTTTTGTTTTTATTTCCAGAAGAAGAAGAAGAAGACGTGTCTTCAGAGGTTTTTGTGTTGTTTCTTTCAGTAGTTATTGGTGCAGCGCCACCACAGGCGAGTGGGGGGAACAGGTTGGTTCAACAGGTTGACTCGACTGCACAGTGCAGTGTGAATGCAAACGCACCAGCTCAAATGTAAACAAAATGTCATGAATATTGGTCCCCAACCGAACCGAATCTACTGGACTATCAAGTGTGAAAACAACCTAAAAAAGGCGACAAACCTAGCACCCCCCACCGCCGAAGATTTTGTTTTTTTTATTTTTTACATGTAAATTAATCATTCTGGTATACTCCAAGAAGAAAATTGGGGGAAAAGACAACATGCTTTGGGTAAAAAAAAAAAAAGACGTTTACTAACAAATTAATTTAATTAGGGCATACGAAAGATGGCATCAACCAAAAAATAAAAAATAAACAAGCAACAACAGCAGCAAGCCAGCAAGAGAAACTAAATATAGTAGAGCATTTTGCTAACAGCAAAAATTCATGTCTTTAATGTTTTGGCCTGGACAAGACTTTCAAGTGCCTGTTTCCACTGCTTGGTCATGTGCCTCTTTCACGCCCATTGGCATCAGAAGCATTTGTAATGTGGAGGGACATACTGGTGATGTGTGTGTGGGGTAGAGTTGCATTTGGGCCTAAAAAATCTGACCTAGCCCGGACTGAACTCGTATCATTTTTATCCGAGCCTGACCCAGAACCGACCAATTAACTATGATTACAGGCCCAAATCCGAAAAGAAAAAAGAAAAAAAAAAGGCGACCTATTTTTTTATGAAGCTTTTACTGCTTTTGTAAGTAAATCATTTTGACATGATTTAAAAATGTATTTCAAAGAAAGGAAGATATAAGATTTATTGTTTATTAACAAGAGTCAGGGTCAGAGTATAGTTAGTCAAGTCGTCACATTTATTTATATAGCACATTTAAAACAGTAACTGTTGTCAAAGTGCTTACCAAAAAAGATCACAGCATCAAATATTAATAACAAGATATTACAGCAACATGAATAAAAGCATAAAAACATGAAATATAATGAGAAACAACAAAACACTAAATCAAATCACCCTGCGTTAAATGTCAGGGAGTAAAAGCAAAATGGATGAACACAATCATCAACAATGAAATACCAAATGAGATCACACTGTGTTAAATGCCATTGAGTACAGGTGTGTTTTGAGGAGCGATTTCGAAGTAGAGACTGAGGTGGCCTGTCGAATGTTGATGGGCAGATTGTTCCAGAGTCCATGACTGAAAATGCCCGATCTCATCTGAGCTTCAGCCGGATTTTTGGTACGGCCAAAAGCAGCTGGTCTGATGATCTCAAGGCCAGAGAAGGAGTATAAGGATGAAGAAGGTCAGAGAGGTATGATGGTGCAAGGCCATTAACACACTTAAATGTAGCAGAAGAATCTTAAAATCAACTCTGACACGCACAGTAAGCCAGTGAAGGGAGGACAGAACTGGAGTAATGTGCTCAAACCTGTGAGTTTCTGTTAGTAGCCGAGCTGCAGCATTTTGGACAAGCTGGAGACGTGAGAGAGAGACCTGACTGACCCCAGCATAAAGCGAGTTACAGTAGTCCAGCCGGGTTGTAATAAATGCATGGACTAATTTTTCAAGGTCGGATCTAGACAGCACGGACTTGAGCTTAGCTATCTGCCTTAGCTGAAAGAAGCTTTTTAGAAGAATAGAATTTATCTGCTTATTAAACTTAAAGTCTGAGTCTAAAACTATCCCGAGATTGGTAACAGACTGTTTTAGATATGGCTGAAGGGAGTCCAGGTTTGCAGGATCAATGACAGTGGCAGAGCTAGGGTTAAACACGATGACCTCAGTCTTCTGATCATTAAAACTCAAAAAGTTTGCAGCCATCCAAGTCTTGATGTCATCAAGACATTGTAACAAAGGGCGAATGGAGGAGGAACTGTTAGGTGTTAACGGCAGATAAATCTGAGAGTCATCCGCATAACAATGAAAGGAAAGACCATGTTTCCTCAGGATAGACCCTAAGGGGAGGAGATACAATGAAAACAGAAGGGGTCCAAGAATGGAGCCTTGCGGGACCCCACAGGAAAGAGGCACTGAAGTAGATAGAGTGTTAGCAAAATCAACACAGAAACTCGTCGCTTAGGTATGAATGGAACCATTCTAACGCTGCACCAGTAATCCCAACCCACTGTTCTAGCCAGGATAAAAGGATACTGTGGTCCACAGTATCAAATGCAGCGGTAAGGTCAAGGAGTACCAGGACTACAGACTGACCAGAGTCATTTGCCAGAAGAATGTTGTTGCAGACTGTAACTAAGGCTGTTTCGGTGCTGTGTAATTTCTTAAAGCCAGACTGAAAGATCTCAAGAATAGAATTTCCATTCAAGAACTTGTTTAATTGAGTGAAAACTATTTTCTCCAGGATTTTAGAAAGAAAGGGAAGTTTGGAGATGGGTCTGAAGTTTGAGCAGGTTGAATGGTCAAGTTCGGGGTTTTTTATTAAAGGAGTTACCACTGCATGTTTAAAAGCGTCAGGAACTACACCTGTAGCCATACTGCTGTTTATAATGTCAAGAACAGAGGGTCCAATGGAGGGTAGGACTTGTTAAAAAAAAAAACGATGCAGGGATGGGGTCAGCAGGGGAACCTGAGGGTTTCATATGACCAATGACATAATTTAGAAACAAGAGGGAAATGGGTTCAAACTGGTTAAAGACTGATGTGGAGGGGACAAAGACAGAGGGGTCAGCTGTGGTGTGAGGAATCAGTGACCTGATCGACTCAACCTTTTTATCAAAGAAACTGGCAAAGTCGTCACACGTAACTGCAGAGGCCTCCTAGTTGGCAGACTGAGGCACGGTTAAAATGGCGTTAATGGTATCGAAAAGAACGCGGGGATTGTGGCTGTTTGAGGCAATGATTTGGGAGAAATTTTTTTTTTTTTCTGATTTAACAGTGGCCTGGTACTCTTTGTAACATGTTTTTAGCATGATGCGCAAGTGATCTCATTCATCCAAGGGTGTGGAGTGCGCTTTGGATGCCTAATTTTTATTGGTGCAACTAGGTCAAGAACCTTAGCACAGGTCTCTTGATATACAGTGACTGGCTCATGGGTGTTGATGGAAGAGGATTCAGAGACTGAGAGAGAGTTTTTAGTAAAAGCAGAGGAAAAGAGTGCAGTAGTGGAAAGGTTAAATATTTGACGAGGCCTGGCTGGAGGGGGAGGAGGTTTGGACTCGTTGACAAAAGAAGCGTCGAAAGAAATGGGTTTGTGGTTGGAGAAAACCACATCCCCAATTTCTAACTCAGAAACAGATAAACCATAGGTTAACACTAAATTCAGTGTGTGTCCATGCTGGTGAGTTGGTCCTGCAACATTTTGCGCAAAATTCAGAGACTGGATCAGATCTAGAAAGTCCTGAGTCAGCGGCTTTTCAGAGCAACAAACATGTATATTGAAATCTCCCAGAATCAAAACCTGATCATATCTGAGCAGAATCCAAGTTAAAAAGTCAGAGAGTTCAGCCATGAAGTCCTTATTATATTTGGGTGACCTGTATAAGACAGCAGAAAAAACAGGATTTGAACGGCCCACCTCAAAACACAGCAGTTTGAAGCTAAAAAAATTAGCTGGTATCTGTACCAGTTTTTAGTTCGAACGTTTTTTGAAAATAGTTAATAATCCACCATCTTTGCCTGATATTTTCAGAGCATTAAAATAAGAACAGTCCGGTGGTAAAATTTCCGACAGGGCCATGAACTCACCACAGGAGAGCCACGTCTCAGTCACGCAGAAGTCCAGACCGGTGGAGGAGAAAAAGTCCTTCAAGATAAACGTTTTATTAGCCAGAGACCTGGCGTTTATTAAGGCAATCCTTGTAGGAATCACAGCAGGAGAAGTTGCCCATGAAGTTAAGACCAGTGGTCTCAGATTTGTGGATTTCGACCCACGACTCCAACGACCGGAAGCCCAGCCACGCCGAACAGGTCTGCTGTGGAAGCCTGACCCGACCCATGGGACCAGGAAGGACTCGGGTGGATTGGCGCAGCGCCAGGACAGGTAATTTAAGATGTGGTCCTCGGTTGAAGAGGAAGCCACAGCAGCAGCCCGCCAGACTTTGATCCTCACAAAACGGCCGACCTGTTTTCCACGGCACCTGGAGCGATGTCTTTGAGCGGGCAGGATATCACGGTGGAGGTAAACAGGAACATCTTCAAGCAGAGGTGGGGGTCAAGGAGGGGGTCCAGAGTTAAGATCATTATAATCAAACAAAGCGAGACTGGTGGCAGATAGTCAGAGATTTAGGAGTTGATGACGTTCATAAACCAGCAGTGAGTCAATGTTGTAGGTGAAAAATGACAAAAACAGAATAAACACAATCACTGCAGACAGAGCTGGAGGGTAGGCCATGCACAGCGGTGCCGTCTTCCCGGAAGTTATTATAATATTAGTTATTATTGTTGTTAGCCGTCGTCGGCCAAGCGCGTCCGCTGATGCAGCGGCTGAGTAAGCTTCAGGTGGGACGCTGGCAGTGAT